AGGGGAATACTATGGGTGCATTTTCATCAGCCAAAAGATTTTGCTTTTATAGGGGAAGAGCACTTCATTTGTATGGATTTTGAGGTCTAGTAAGAGTCAATGTTTGAATCTCTTGATTATTTAATTAAATTTTCTCAGCAATCTGTTGTCCTTATGTAGGGATTAAGTCAAATGGTAATCAGAATCCATTGTCTTAAAAATTGCTACTGTTTAAAGCAATCACCAAACTGACTGACCCTCATTTACTTCAGTAAAGTGAATCATAGAAGTGACTAGACAAGAATGAATGAAAGAAAATGTTGTCCATCTTTCCCTTTCAGCCAGCCTTAGCTGATGCAGATCATACGCTAAAGCTACAATTATGGAAGAAATACAGGACAAAGTTAGCTTGCCCAGCAGATGCTGAGTGGGCTGAAGCTCCTCATCAGGACAAGAGTCTGTGAGCTTAATGCCTCTTGCAAAAAGACTTAGTCAATAGATTCCCCTTGATCAGGGGTATGTGGTAAAGCCCAGTCACAAGGTTCCCTTTGTCGCCTTAGTGTCTCTGATTCTGGCCCACAGGCTTTCAAGCTGCTCATGGATGTTCTTCTAAGACAGCTCTCCACACTCAGTCTAGCTCTTGAGGCAGAGAGCAATCTCTCAGTTTCTCTTTTCTCCCCTGTCTATTCTGAACACTCTTTATTTTTCAATAATCATGCTCCAGTCATGGGATTTTTCCCATTGAGCTTCAGTAATGGCAACAAGGTTGTAGCTTTCTAGCAGCGCAGTGGCTCCCAGTTCCTCCAGTTTGTGCACATGCTGTGTGCATTGGTGTAAAGGCACCTCAGCTGAGTTCTCAGCCATGTCACCTTCCTAGAGGAGCACCCATGAATTCCTTTGAGGCATTTGCCTCCCTGGTGTTTCCCTGTTGGCTTCTGTTACCTCAGGAGTCCCTGGCTCATCTCCCTAAGACTGTAAGTGTGCTTCAGTGAGGCTAGCACATTTCAGAATCAGCAGCAGAGGAGCCTCACTAGCGCTCCATGGCTCTAATCTTTGCATATCACCCCACATCTTGCTAGGGACAAGCCTGTCACTGACAACCTGCTGCAGTGAAGCCAACTGCTGGTTCTACTTGGAAAACATTAGGTTAAGAAGAGTGGAGAAAAGCATGAACAAGATTATGAAAGAGGGGAGATTTAGCCCAGATATTAGGAAGAAATTCTCTACTGTGAGGGCGGTCGGGTGCTGAAACAGGTTGTTGCCCTTAGAACTTGTGGATGTGCCAGGCCTGCCAGTGATCAAGGTCAGGCTGGATAAGGCTTTGAGCAACCTGGTGTAATGGGAGATGTCTCTGCCAATGGCAGAAAGGTTGGGAGTAGATGATCTTTAAGGTCCCTTCCAACCTTTACATTCATGATTGTATGATTCTATGATGGGTAAGAGCAGAGTAAGGGCTGGAGATGTGGCCTACAGAGCAAAGAGTTGAAATAATATGTATCAATTTTTGAGACTGATAGAAGAAATACTGGCATGTGAACAGGAAGAGTTACATGAGAACCATCAATTAACAAAGGAAGCAATGTGAAGATAAGAAAAGGGGTGCTAATGTTCTCTGTATAAAAGTGAGCTTTTCCACTGGCATTGATGATTAGGAGTGGAAGTCAGGTTGGACTAAATGGGAAAGGGTAATGTGAAATCAAAGGTGAAAATAGTTTTGTTTGTAACATTCCACAATTTGAGGATTACTACAATAATTATTTGCATATTCTGTATTGCCAAATATGTCAATTTATTGGGAAGGAGAGCTGTTACTTAGTGTAAGGAAGTAAATTAGCAAAACAGAAAGGTGCAGTTGTCACAGCTGCTTGGTGTAGTGAATCATGCAACTCACAAAGGAATTAAACTCAGAAATTTTAGATATCCAGTGTTAAATAAAATCTAACATGAGGATAAATGAGTTCGAAAAAAAGTAATTCCTTAAGTTTTTTATGCTGTTTCCTGGGAAACGGTGTGTGTGCTGTCTGCTTTGGTTATCAGTCATTTCCTCTGCAAGTAACCTCTGATAGCCAGCTTGAAATCACTTGGAAAGAAGTGAAAGGTCAATATTATCTTCAAGTAGTCTTTAAAATCTGTAGCTAGGTGAAGGAGAGACCAAGTTAGTATGCCTGAGATAAGTTGAATGTTGACATTATATATTCATTTTGGCAGCAGCCGGGTTGACAATGCACACACATCCTTCCCAGCTGCTGTCACAGCATTGCCCTCTCTTGCTCTGCAATACCATGGGAAGACAGTAGAACCTGGGGTGTGGGAGGGCTAGGGAGCGGTGATGCTAGGGAGAGGGCTAGGAAGACCTGAACAGTGAACCAGGCTGCATTATTTCCTGTTTCTAATGGTATATTTTTTATAATCTAATTTTCTGACTGCTTTGACCTGAGGATTCTTGAAATGCATAGGTTTTATTTCATCTGCAACATTAAACAAGCCCAAGGGATTACAAGATTTCTGTTCCTTTTTAACATTGGATAGATTACAGAGTTGAACATATGCTTTTATCTTTAATAAAACTACGTATTATTAGATTTTTTTTTTGTTTCAATGTTTCCAGAGTGTAATTAGCAATACATGAGCATTGATGTAAAACAAGGTCTTTTGTTTGGTATTTGCAGATTCATTGCTTATATGCTATACATTTTTTCTGTATGCATTTGATGCATATAGTCTATGAGCATTATTTTAACCTTCTTTTTTGTCTCTTATTTTCTTAAAATATTCTTATAGGAACTTACGAGATCCACCAAGACAGAATGTAAAACCAATGCTTTTTAATAAATCAGCAGGATTTTAAAAATCAATATTAATATTTATTAAATATAATTACAGTACATTTTCTGCAATATGTTACTGGGAAGTATTTTTATTATAAGGATACATTTAATAACAATGTTTATTAAATATTAGTAAATTCATCAGCGGCATTTTTTGGTGCCATTGATACTCATATCTCAAGTACCCTAAATGGCATCATTACAAAATACAAAATAACTATTTGCTTCTCTTAGTAGAGGCTGAGTCTTTAAATTTCAAGGTCCTCTGTTATTTAGTCCTCAAAAAGTCCAAATGGAAAAGTCCAAACCACAAAAGATATGGAAATGTTGTGAAAGATTCTATTTAGTTTAATCTCAGCTGCTAGCATTAATAATTGCACCAAAAAACTTCATTGCTTAATTATCTATCAAAAAATTATGTAAGCAAATAGAAGTGAGCTTAAACAAGAACAACAATATTCATGTTTTACTGTGATCTTTGGAAGAGGTTACCTTGAAAAACTGCTCTGGATTGCCTAGTTTGCTTGCATGCCAAAGGCAAATTAGTAAGTATACTCAGTGTTATGCTCCGAAAATACAGAACTGTAAAATTTGTATCCCTCCTTAATTTATTAAAAGAAATAAAAATAAGTGGCTACTTTATTGAAAAATGTACTATTTTTAAAGCAGTTTTTAAACCTTGAATTGAAGCAGTTGTACCCTTGGGAATATGGTTGCTGTCAAGGCAGAACTATCCAGCTGTTGCAAACTTGTTTCTAGTAGATACTGTGGAAGACAGTTTCAAAATGGTAATTTCTACTTTATTTTTAGAAAGAGAAGTCATTGTTTTGTTTGGAAGGGTATATCCAGTATATGAAAGTCTCATTTAAATTCATATATCCTCAAAGCATAGGTAGGTGCATGCATTACATAATCCCTTCATATCATTTTAATTGTTCAGAAACCTATTTTTATCACATCTTCATTCACATTTCATATTTATAGACTCTTTGGTGTATACGTTGATGAATTATTTTAATTACACAGGTTTTCAAAGCTGTAGTGTACAATTTATGAATTATTTTTAATAGGAGGAGTTTCTATCTGCATGCAGATTTGATTCTGAACTTGAGACTTGTGTGTCTTTTGTAGATTTCTTTTGATACTTGTTTTGGGATTACAGGCAGAAGTGAGATGATTGATAGCAAAGTTTTATTAAAGTTGAATTGTTCTGACTGTGCATAGGAGTCTCATGTTGGGCAGAGGATTAACAGGCTGATTCAACTCTTCATCTGGAAGAGGCTGGTAAATAGACTTTGCATCAACTGCTGATCAGACAGTCAAGCAAGAGCTGTAAATGTAAAGCTGCCTGATTAATGGGTTTTACAGCAAAAGATTTCAGTCCACCTCGCTGTCCACTTACCTAGCCCAAAAATCTGGTCAGTGACAATTTTACAGGAGACAGTGTTGAAAACCATGGTAAAGTCAAGGTAAATGTTTCCCCTAAATAAAAATCATGCTGACTGCTCCTGGAACACCTTCCTGCCTTTTGTGTCTTTGGAAAAGTTTTCCAGCAGGATTCATCCAATGCAAACTTGTAAATGGCAGGCAAGTCTACATCACTCCTCTTGTGGTTCAGGAGAAATGCATTGTTAAAGAACAATATGAAGGTGAATTGTTTGAATTTGAAAATACATACATATACATAGTGTGTCTTCTAGCAGTTAGCATTTAATAATTTCTTCATCTTCTAGCAGGTCACATTAAGTTTTTTCCTGATAACTATATTGACAGAACACCCTAGTACAGTTCTCAGCTTACATGTTTGAATTTCAAAGGATTTGTTTATTTATTTGTCTAGCTGTGAAAAGCAGAAGAACTGTATGTGCAGAATAGTCACAAATTTGCTATGTGAGGAAATGGGTATGATGACATCTAATCCTGAAAAGTGGTGTCCTGGGGAGTTCACACTTTTGGAGGAGTTTGTTCCCATGACAATTTCCTGTAGTGTTAATCTTGTGAGGATGGATGTCGATTTCTCATAGATCTCATATGTCTGTAATCAATAGAATTTCAAACACTAAAATTTTTAATTGGACTTTTTCCTTTAACATTTTAATATGTAAATCCCATTTCTACCTAAAGTAATCGTTTGGGATAAAAAAAGATTGAGATGCATTTTGAAAGATTAAATTTACTGTTATTTCTCTTTAGTTTCAGGCACTGCATTCTGTATCACAAACACTGGGTTTGCTAGGAAGGAACAGCATACTAAGAAATTCTTTAATATCCCTTCTCCTATCGGAAGTCCGTCAGTTTGCTGAGCAGTTGTTGCAGGCTCACCAGGTACTGTCATCTTTTCTTTTTGAGAAAGGTCAAAGAGTAGTGTTGAGGAGTGTCTTGGCTGTATTTATTTGTTTCTTAAAATTTAAAAAAAAGCATCATCGTATATTCAGAATATTCAGATTTAAGAACACAGAAAATGCTAGGAGCTACCTTAAACAGCAAATCCAAAAAGAGAGACAAAAAGTAAGAGAAAATTCCATACAGAAAGGTAAAATTATCAGACTGGATGACAAATAGACTTTATTGGTTTTTAAATCATGCTATATAATTTGCAAAACACTTGAAATAATGAGTTAGAAGACTTAGTGCAATGTATAAATTGTTGACTATGCAGGCAATGCAACTTCGGTATTCTCTCTAGCTCACGTAAAGCTGGAAAGTCAGCTACTTTATTTTATTTCAGAATTAGATTTCATGTTTCACATTATTATTATTTAAAATTATTAATTTTCATGATGCAAAAGTCATCCAGCACATAGTATTGTGCTTAATTTGTTACAATGAGTAAGAGATAAAGAGCAGAATAGAAATTTTGGTAAAACTTATTCTTAAATTAAATTTTTTCCAGTAAACTATAGAGGAAAGAGAGAGAGAGAGAGAGAATGGATGTTTCTTTACATTTGAAAAAAAAAGATATATGAAATAAATATGGATTTCATAGATTTTTCATATATTTGTATGTGTTGATATGTATTTTATGCAAAATGTTTGGCTTCACTTGGGATTGCAACTAGATTTTACACTATCCTAAAAACATTTTATTTGGTGGAAAATAAATTTATTGATACATATCAAAAACATTCACCATAGATTTGTTCTGCAGTTGTCTAATTTAACAAAAGGGTTAAGTGTTGCTCAAGCAGTCTTAACTTTTTCTTTTACTCTCTAGGATATGATGTAGTAGTGAGTTCGGACTGTTGGAGAGGGAGTATGTAATTGCCAAGTCAAATTTCTAGTATGTTTTAATCATATTCTGAAAATGCCAGTTATGAAATAATTAGATAATGAATTATGCCTTATTTTAGGTCACTGTTAGCATACAAGATTTATTGATGGCAACCAAAAGTTAACAGACTTTTAACAACTGTAAGGATAGGGAAGTGTGTAACTAAAAACAGTAATTGTTTTTTTAAGTTTAAAGCAGTTGTTCATTTTTAACATTATTAAATCTCACCCGTTTAACAGAATCAGTCCTCTTTCTTTTAAGTGTTTTGCCAGTGGCAACACAGAACCTTTCAGTTCTCCACAGTGATGTCAAGCTCATACTGAGCATTGTGCTTTGCTGAGTTAGTTACTATGGAACTGCTTAACCTTGCCATACTGTAATTATTTTTATTGCTTTCATATTTGGTGAAGCCTCAGGAGCTGGGCATCTCTCAATCTGTAGCTGACACTCTAGGACTTTGAAAAGCTGCAGTACACGTATGGAAAGTAACTGAAGTTCTGGTTTGCTTAGCTTGTGGTGAAGTCAATGTTTTTAAAGTTCATGCACTCTTGCATTTAGTCCTAATAGATGTATTGTGTTCATTTACAAACCCTCATATATTCTGCATGTGATAGTATTCTGGAAATATATCACAATAGGACTCCATTCTGATGGCCTGATTTATGATTCTGATTTATGGACCTGCTTCCAAATGTTCGTGTTGCATGGCTTCTGGTAGATATGATTCTAAAAATGATTAAAGTATTTTTTTCTTGTTTTATAATCAAATCTAATTATACAATATCCATTTGAAATTAAAAAACCACCAGCTTTAAAAAAATCTGCTCATAAATTAGAGTTTGGAGAAAGATAATACTTCATATAATCATTAGTTGACAAGTATTCTAATTGTGTTTTGTTACTTAAGCAAAACCACTGTTAATTGCAAAGAGTATCTCCCATTTAAAACAATCAAATTAGAGATTCTTAATTTTAGCTATGATTAGGGGTGTGGAAATACATGAAGTTTGCTTTGCCTCACTGTTTGTTAGTTTTATTGTTGGCACATAGGAGAAATAAAGAATCATCTAAGGCGTGTATCCAGGTTAGTTTGCAATTAACTTTTGAACATTTGATGGAAAACAGAAATTGAAAAAAATAGCTTATTCATCCAAGCAAATTTCTGGTTTATTTTTTTATAGTAATAATTTTTTTTTAAATTGAAGATGGTTTCCAACACAGACTTGGAATAAAAACAACATTCCTTTTAATTTTTTTAAATGAATCATCTAGATAGCTCAACATTTCTGTTTTAATTTCCTCATTTAGACTTGAACTAAGTTCCAAGTAGTTTGTCAAATGCATGAATTCAAGAATGTGCAACTTTATATTCCATTATGTCTTCAGTAGGAAGTGCGCTCAGCTCAGTTCCTTGCAGGTTTGTGTATACATCTTTGATAAATACTGAAAATATTTTACTTTCCAGTTCTGACTGATTTTAGAGAGTTTATAACTTTTTTCTTGGAACAAGGGTATCAGTCTGTGACCCAGTTCTAAAACACTATCTGTGTCCCATGCTTTACAAATTAAAAAATTAGGTTGTCTATTGGAGAGTGTTTCTAATAAACTACAACAGAAAAGTACAGAGATTACTCTGAATATTTTTATGTTGTTGTCTAATTGTTTAAATCCTTTCAGAAGATTTCAGAATCAAAGATTTCAGATACCGTGGAAGATGGATTAATTTTCAAATGTTGACCTCTTCTCATGATAGCAGATCTTCCTTTATTATGACTTTCAAAGACAGAAACCCAGAAATGGAAGGCACATAGTGTTTTACCGCTCATTTCTAACCACCCCCCCAGTATTAATTCTGAGAATTCTGTAAAAGGAAATTAGAAACCAGAAAATAGGTTTTGAAATAGGAAAGAAAGACATACTATGAGGTTTTGGAAAGCTCTGTTATTCAGTAATTGCTGATGCATAGCTTGGGTAGCATTACCCAAGTTTTATATCACATTACTTTCTATGTACCATTTTTACTTTTTTGACACTTTAAAATAGTTTTATCATTGTCACTGTCAAGGCAGGATGGGAATGAGAAGACCCAGATCAGAAGGCTGCTGAGAGTAAAACTGTACACTATATAGCTGTTTGTTTAGGGTTTTGTAATCAAAGCACCAAATTCTATGTAATTCTCAATATTATATGTAAGCATTAAGTCCAAATTCAGATGCGGGTGCTGACTTGTCACCTGAAGTGAATGGCAGAGGATATAAAGGATGAGATTAATCCTCTTTAGTTTAGGTATATGTAGTAGACCTTGCTGTCTGCTTCTTGTAAAAATCAACCAAGCAGCTAAGATTAGCTAAAAATTTGCCAACATGAAGATAGATAGTCATGCAAGGCTTTGTTACATAAATTCTTGAGAATTGGGCTCGTTACAACAAAACAGCTTTGATTCAAAAGAGCCAAAGGAGTTAGACATAAGGTGGCATTTGTCTCACTTGAATTCAGATTTCTATGATATTTCCATCTGACTTTCTTACTTTAACTTTCCATTGTAGTCAAGGGAAGGGAAAAGTAATTTCTTGTCCAACCTATGTTCTCATTCATAATTATCATAATTGGTCCTAGTGTTGTTTGCTTCTTTCTTCTGGCTCTGAGGAAGAACATATAAGTTGATAACTTGAAATGCAGATATTTATGTTAAAAATTTCCAAAGTTAAGGGATGAAAATCCCATAATATCTCTGCAAAAATGTCTTTTTGGATGATCTGAGCAAGAAATGTTATTTGAGCAAAGACCTGATCCTGCAGAGCATTGTAACAGGTAGTCATGCAAAGCATACTTCTGTCTGTACACTGACAAACATATGTAAATAACACTGTTAGATGTTTGGAGCAAGTTATATTTTAGTTACTGTAATTAATAAGTTAAGTTAGTTATCATGTATTCGAATTCTATTAGTGTCCACAAGAGGCTGGTGACTGATGATGATGGATTGAAGGATATGTGGATTGGAGCTTCTTGTGAGATGCTTTCAGCCGTGGTGTGTGTGATGCATGTGCCTCTAAACAGGAAGACCTGTAAGACCAGCAGTCTGTGCAGGCCACTGCAGAAGAACCCAGAGGAGTACAGAAGCACTATGATTCTGAGTATTTCCCGAGATTTTCATTGCTATTCAGCACTGTATAGCTAACAGGCATGTCACTGGATTGTCAAACTGCACAGAACAGCTCTATATGGAAGCAAATGAAGGGCTGAAATATTCCTGTGGCTGGAGAGCCTTTTTTTTTTTTTTTTTTTCCAAGCTGGCCTGCAAATTAGAGACTTTGTGAATGTCAGTTTGGACTAGTTCAGTTGGTAATCAGTTCATAAGGGAAAACAGAGTTTTCTGGTAGCTGGGTTCAGCTAGATGATCAAAAGGTTTAAAGTACTGAGAACTGAGCTATTAATGTCAGAGCTTGTCATCATAAGCCTTTCTCCATGTATCCATTCTGTATCCAATGGTTGATCTGGGCAGATGTGGTACACACCACATGCTTTATTCTGAAGGCAAATGTGTCTGATGTGATGTAGGGAATTCTTCAGGCAAGCTCCGCTTTCCAAGAAGTTTACTTCATTTATGCTGTATGTTTAATCTCTTCAAACATAAGTTTATATACCTTTCAATAAAGGTTTCCTATGGTAAGGAAAAAAGGCTATACTATTTTTTCCCCAACTATGATAGAAAATGTCTCAAATAGTTAATAAGAAAAAAAAAACTGAGAATATTATGCAGCTAAAGCAGCTGAATACCTTTTGCAGTCTACTGTTGTTTGAGGTACTAAAATGACTATCAAGTATATTTGGTTTTTAAAATTTCTACTGTTGACTTTTGCTGATGCATCAGATTAATAATACTTTACCTAGGTAGAAAAAATAGAGATTGGTGTTATGTAGACCTTATGAAAATAATTTAACTTGCATCTGGACATCTGTTCATCCTTTCTAAGTTGTAATTTCTTTCCTTGTTATGCTTGTAAGCACAGATTGTAGCATATTTCAAATTGTAAATTGCTAAAGGTGCTGC